ACTTACATTGCAGCCATATTTTTTTTTTTTAACATTTTTAAATTGAAGTGTAGTCGAAATGCAGTGTTACTTAGTTTCAGGCGTACACCACAGTGACTTGACAACTCTGTATCTTACGCAGAGCTCACCACGGCAAGTGTAGTTACTGTCTGTCACCTTATAGCGCTATCACAGTAGGGACCGTATTCCCTGTGTCGTAACTTTCATCCCTGTGGCTTCTTTATTTTATAACTGGAAGTTTGTACCTGGAAGGAGTAAGGGGATTTCTTTCTCTGTCTCTGTTCTCTAGAAGGCATCCATTTGTGGAGGCCTGTGGTTTCCTGGCTAGCTAGGCTTGCTGGTTTGCTTGCTTACTTGTCTCCTTTTTTCTTCCTTTCTTTTTTGACATCAGGACTCTTTCTTTAAGTGAAGTGTTACATTCAGCCCCGGTGTATAAAGCAGATAAAAGGGAAGCTGTGCAGATTTAAGAGTAGGGAAGGGCCCGCTGGCTTGACTCCCCCTCCCTGGCTTCCCTGGCCGCTTTGGGAGGGACATGTCGAGTGTCCTGGGGTTCCACAAAGCCGTACTGGAAAGCTAAGCTCCTTACTTGGTGAGAAAACCCAGGCTTAATGAGACAAGTGCCCAGCTGCTCTCCATGGTTCCTGGTGGCTCCGGGCGATAGGCTGCTTTGGGAAGGGGCACCTGAATAACAAGGGCGTCGGACAGACAACTCAGGCTTGAGCCTAGACTCTGCAAAGCAGTGGCTGGGGGACCCCGGGGAACTTAGAACGTCCATGACTTGCAGGTCCTCAACTATGAAACATAGACGGGGCTCGCTGACAGGGCGAACGTGAAGCAGCCAGGGTGTCTGGTTGGGGCTCTACGGGTGGCAAATGTTTTTATTAAAGAAGCTAACGAGGGGGACCCAAGTCAAATAGACTAAGGTTGACAGAGAAGGCGGTTAGTGTGGAGTGAGAGGAATGAGAGCTTCGGCCCCCGCACATTGTGCTCTGGGCCCCTGAACTCTTCCCACTCTGCAGAGAGAAGGTCGTGGTCACAGCTCCCTCTCGGGGCCCGTTTGGGTGGCAGGGATGGGTGACAGACTCAGCGCTGCGCCCTGGCAGATCTCCCATCTCCTGGGGGGTTGTGGCCGGGGGCAGCAGGAGGTTGGGCCTGGGGGAGGGGAAGGAAGTGGCCGGGCTCATGGTTCTCAGAGTTTCTGCTGCGGCCCCATGTTGCAGTTCCTGCTACGTTTCTGTTACCACACGCCTTGATTCTTTGATAAAGATGCTGAAGTTCTTTTCTGGCCTGTGCTCAGTCATGTGGGCTGAAGAGAAAGGGTGCTTCGTGCTTTCCCTGCCCTTGGGCTCACCAAGCCTCAGCCCGGAGAGCCTGGCTGTGTCAGAAGGGATGAGGGGGTCTCTCTGGGATCAGTTAGATCCCCCAGTGCAGAAGCCTGGTGGGAGTCCCCATGTCCCGAGACTCCGGATAGATAACCCGTGATGACGGCCTCTTGCTTGGATTCTCCGATTGGACTAAAGCATGTGCTGTTGTCATTGATGTTGTTAATTTTTGGAAGTGGCACAGCACAGTGGGAGAGACTCTGCATGGGAAGATGGGAATCAAGAAACCCTGGTGCTATTCCTGGCGGTGTCCGGAACTCAGTGTTTGGCTGTGGGCCTTGATTTGCCCATCTCTCAGTGAGCGAATTTGATGATAGAATCTGTAAGGTTGCATTCAACTCTAAAAGTCCTGTATCTTTTTTTTTTTTCCCTTTCCTGTTTAAAGGTACTTAGATCCAGGTTAAAGCTATAGAGAAGTTGGCTAGATCTTCTACATGGCCGCGTTTTTGAGTTGTAACTACGTGCTGTCCATTGCCTAAGGAACTTTAAAGTATTATTAAATCCTCACAAAAGCATTGGTAGGCACTATTATTCCTATTTTGTAGATAAGGAAACTGAGGCTCAGACATGTTAAACCAGTTGTGTAAGGCTCCGCGACCGGTATATGATGAAGTGAGTTATGGAACCCACATTGTCATGATGCTCTGGAGCCAACCTTACTGTCCTAAGCCATTAGCGTGAGGACTTCCTAGAAGGAGGAGAACTCACTCTTTTAGACACCATGTCTTTACGGCGAGGTGATAGGGAAACTGACATTTATTAGGCACTGGTGTGTGCCCAGTATTGTGCTAGAAACCTTCCGTATGTGGTGTCTTCCGACGTCCATAAGTGTCGTAAGGTGTGTGGTAATACAGTAAGTGGTAACAACAGGTCTTAGACCTAGGTTGTGAGTTTCCAGACTTCTCTTTTCCTGGTTCACACATTCTCTCACTGAAGATGGAGCAGGCTGCCCCCCTAGAGCCTGCTCCAAGCTAAGAGGTGACGTCTCGGATTGGGGGGGGCACCCTGTACAAATTCCAGGGGTCTCAAAGATGTATGTCATGATGGACAGCTAGGTACCTTCCAGGACACAGTTGTTCCCAGCTTCCAGAAACTTCCCTCAGTCCATCCCAGGATGGTAGTCTCATCCCACTTCCAGGACGTCTGTAGAGAGGAAACTCAACAAACACTTATTAACTCAACTTCCCGGAGGAAGACTGGGCCCCTGTTTTCCAGGGAGGGTCACAGAGATCCTTCCCGGGACATGGAGCCCTCTGGAGGCTGCCAAGAGGCCCATGTACTAATGATAGTTGATAAAAGGAGCGCACTGTCTCCACTTTAGAAACTGCTGGCTCAATCCAGGCTGCCGTCTCTGCGGAGGCTAGTCGTTCATTCAGCTAAAATTGATTCCATTTCCCTTACATATCTAGCCCATGGTAAGTGCTGGGTGTACACATGGAATGAGTGACAAGAGCCAATTCCTCTGAAACGGATTTTTTTGAAACATTAGAAGAATACTGTTCAACTCATTGGAAGAGTGCTGGGAAGGTCGGTCTGTGGAGCCTGCTGGAAGCTGAGGGGCGGCTTCGGGCTTCGGAACAGTAGAGGCAAGGGTGGCTCAGCAAAACCAGCAGATATCTCTGTTGGGTGCTGGCTGACTCAGCTCCATTCACTTTGCAATTCAAATTCCTCAGGGAGCTTGGGTCCAGATGGATCCCCTTCACCTCCCCCCCC